GAGTATGTTTTGGTTGAGTTCCCCGTTCTGGATTGTGATTGATGTCGTTATTCTTTGTCTGCCTGCGTCTGCCCGTGGATCGCCGCGATCTGGACGTGTCCTTCTCTGTGCTTCTTCCTTGTTGGCTTGCATTTCGTCTATCGATTGCCGCGACCTGGATACTACGTTATTTTTTATTTTTTTTTATTTTTTTGTGCGTACGTCAGTTTTCTCTTCGCTGCTTTCAACAATTGGCATCGTCGACGATTCGAAGTAGTCGAAGCATGGGTAGTGTTGTTTGCCTTTGAACACTTGGAAAACGAGTTCCCCACGTTTCGTCGGTGACGTTTGCCTCTGGATACTTGGAAAAAGAGTTCCCCAAGTTCCGTCGTTTCCAACTGCCACCTTTGTTTCTGTAGCCTGGTCATCACGAGATGGGTTGACTACGCCCCATGCTCCGGACCTCTATTCCGTTGCGTCCCCTTCCCCTGCGGCCTTCATCGACGTTCGCCATCGCCCACTTCACTGGACTTCTTTCCGCCATCGTCACTTCCTGGCGTCGACTACATCATCATAGTCGAGATCCCGAGTTCTAGTGTTGTATGCATGTTTATGTGTTTTCTGTTTATGTGTTGTGTGTTGTGTTTCATCATCGCTCGTCTGTGCGAAATATAGGGTGGCTAGTCGCATTAATTTTCGACTTTGGTCATTCGTGCCTCGTCCAGCCATTGGTTTTACATGGTTTGGACTCCACGTTTCTTTGTGCAGTTTGGTTGGGGTGGCAATTAACGCCTCTCTTCCGTTTTGGCCATGAACGTTCTTCAGTCTTACCTTTTGTGGTCAGCGCATTCAGCCGTAGTGTGCCCGTCGTCCTGTCCCACTGAATTTTGCGGGAGTAATGCTGGACTCTCTTGTGTCGCCACCCTCATTCCTCCAGTCGTAATACGCGCTTTCGCACGAAATAGAGTGGTGTGTGGCGTTGATATTGATTTATTTGAAAAAGAATGGTGGTGTGGGGGGTCGAGTCGGGATATTCCTACAGCTCCTCTTTCCTTTGGATACACTTGTGAAGAGTCATATCTTTCGATTCATGATCCTAAATCACCAGCTATTAGTAGCCTTAGGATTTGAGTATAGAATCTGTATAGATGATCTTCAGGGTGGGCTAGTGTTAAGGAGTGTTGCTGTATGGCACAGATAGGGTACACAGTCGGTCTAGATTAAGATGGGGGACGTCAGGAGGTATACCCTCTTAGGACGTACCCCATCGGGACTTAGCTATCTGCGTGCCCCCAGGTTGAGGGCAATCCGCCTCACCTCAGACCTGTAGCAGACCCGCTTCTGCAATAACAAGCAACCTTCCCATCTCAACGTGCTCGTGGACAAGAGTG